TGAGGTTAAGTACGATATGAGGAGCTATTATACTTTGCTACAGATAAAAAGATGCCTAAAATTAAAGCAAATTGTTAATTCCCAAGCAGGTGGTTCTCACTTTTGCTAAATTCTGTTTCTTCGAATTTAAATCGATTTGAACGCTGAAGCGTTAAATGCATTTTGACATCATTATTTATGTTCTTGTATCTACCGACTTTTCCACATGAAATAATTAGAGTTTGAAACGGAGCTTAATGATCTCATTTAATTCGAAGAGGAACACGAGGTTTGGGTAAACATCCTTTTTTCTCCCTTTTTTGTATTTTTTTTTTAATTTTTTCCTTCTTTTTAGATCATTATCACTGTTTTGTTATTGTTCTATAATTTCAGTCGAACATGCATGAGTTCTAACACGTGCAATCGTTATTCTTCGGTTGCATAACATTTTTAGCTTTGGTATTATTTTAATCACAAATTGAAGCAGATTTAATCCAAAATAGGTAATATCCCGACGAATATGTGATAAAATATTAAACAGAATTAACTCCTTTACAAGTAAAAGCATAATTGCTTCTATATAAGAGTCCATCAATAATCAGGCTTTTCTTGACAGACATGTCAAATCAGTATTTTTTAATTTTTTATTTTTGGATAAAATCATTGATATAAAATTAAAAAAAAATGGATGAAAACCCGTCCTTTTTAAAGCTATTTGTCTAGTTTAAAAAAGGGGTAAATCATACTTGACATAATTACAGTYGAGATAATTATTGCCATAAAAATCCTGCCTTCTGATTGGTTTGAAGATAGTACCTATGACGTAGTACACAGGTGTCTTGGAAGTCCACATTTTGYCCAAGCTCGCTTCGGTAAATAGTCGCTTTCAAAACGARCTGCTCTTTTATTGCTAACTAAGGATATATATCGAAATTAAAATAGCTATACTCTAGTAAGAAAAAGAATGAATACAAAAAATAAGGTCTTGATGAATACCGAATCGCAAATCCCCCCAAAAAATTTCAGATTACACCGAAATGTATGTTGACAGAATTCGAAATAGAAACATTAGCGTTGTTTATGGTGCTCAAAACAAAATAGTTCTCGATYTAGTGGGAATATTTAATTCAAAAGCGGTCTTTTTGTATGCAAAATTGAAAAATAAACAACATATAACGCTTGTGTATATTGTTCCCTTGATTATTCTTGCGTTTACGCTTACTCTAAAAGCTTCATTAGTTTGTGAGACGTTTCTCTTTCTTCTGAACGTGTGATATTCTAGTCGAAATTGCTATATCGCCTATCCGCGCTAAATGTTAATAACGCTTCAACGCTTCGAAAAGGGCATAATATATAGTAAATTATTCAAATATAGACTTCAAATGATTGATTCTTTTAGCGCAAAAACTAGAATATAGAAGCTACAAGACATAACTGGCTATTAAATCGCTTTTCAAGATAGTTTGGACATGAAAATGATCGGAAAAAAACGCATTGAAACTAGTTTAATTAATACTTAGGTTGCAAAACAGATTCATTCTAAGTAAAAGTATATTTGAAAAGCTGTTGTTACAAACGATAATGAGSATATTATGCTTGTCTTTTTTACCGCAAAAGGTGAAAAAATTTAGCTCCCGACCGCATCGTTGCTAAGCTGAATTTATATTCGGTCTTTTTATTCGATGTGAGTTTTTAAATTCGAGGAAAGAGGAGAAAACGAAACGGAAATGTCTGTTTATCGCTCGGACTCCGTTTGCCTTGCGACATATTTGCAACTAAGAGACTTGGAAATATTATTCTAGCGTATATGTTTGGCTTTCTGCTTTTCTTAAATAAACTAGRATCTTTGTACACTTGCTGTACAAAGTTATTTTTGAGATGAAAAAAAATCGCCTTTCTTTTCTCGAGGTACAAATTAAAAAAAAATATCTCAACAAAACTTCTATCGCAATCCAGCTATTGTCGTGACATATATATTAACTTCTCGGGAACTGATTTTAGCTATTTAGTTGCAATTTTTATCACTTTATTGTGCTTACCTGTCGCCCAAGATAGTTTGAAATATTCCTCGTTGATAGAGTTGCAGAGATGATCACATGCGTTAGAGAAGCGGTCAACGCAAACACCATACAAACAGGCAGCCTAGCAGGCAACATTACAAATGTTATAAAACACAAAAACGTGAACATTCCTACTGAATCGCTTGGAGTAAGAGGATCATATCCAAAAACCAAGTCGACAATCAACTCAGAATAAATTCCAAACCAGACAACGTAAGGCAACCACTTCAGTAAGCGATGCGGGACCAACTTTAGAAGTTGTAGACCGATTAGTAATAGATAAAAAGCTCCATAGACACAGGTTGTAATAACTCTGTTGATTTGCGTTGGGTTGTCTTCTTGAAAAACAACAGCGTACATTGTCACAAGCGCCATGTTGACGACGAAAACCAAAGCTATTATATGCAAGAACCGATCAAGCTTTTGTTGCTCGAAGTAATGTTGATACACTTCTTCTAAAGATTTCGAGGAGAATTCTGTTTTAAAAGACGACGGAAAGCACAACATTTGTCTGAGCGAGGATGTAACAGTCTCTCGTTCGGTGCAGTTTTTGTCAAGTGAATCCTTGAAAGCGACTTTCACACTCGAGGCGCTGATCTTTGAAGCCGACTCGGTTCTAACTGAAAGCATTGCTTTCTTCTTGTCGCTTGTGGCTCCCTTTGTTTGTCCATTTGAACTGGAAATCACGCTTACATCAGAAATATTGTCTTTGGATTTGGTTGGTGAATCTGTGCCGTTTTCCACATCGGCCCAGCGTACTGTTGCGGTATGACTCTCTGTCATTGTAATTTTAGGTACAATTTCATTTCATTCTTAACCATTCTCTGTTAAATTTCCAATGTGAAGCCTTCTTCTCCCCATTTCGAGTCTAAATCATGCCATCTTGTACAATAGAATCTCCAGAAGGACGAACAATTTCGCCTTTTTTTATCAAACAGTCTTTTTTCCAAGTGTAGTGTGCTTTCTCTGTGTATGTAAATTAGAGATTCGCCAAAATGAATAAGAGAGAGATTCTCGCTCACTGATTGGATAAAAAAACAATGAGTTCAACCCAAAGCTAAGTAACTAGTAATTGATGCACAGAGAATGGTCTTTCGGCTTTGTTTTGCTAATCTRTCGCGCGAGAAAATCTAAATTCAACTTGAGAAGAAATACAACAAGAGCTAGTTACAAGAATTTTTAGTTCAAATTGTAGAAAAAAAATCGAGTCTAACTCATCCTTCCGTTGCTAGGCAACAGTTTCGTCTTATTTCTTTGGTCAACGATTTTAATCGACTTAAATGGCTCTTACTGCTGAACCTGATTAGAACTTTGAATACCCGATTGTTCTTTTAATTTGAGCGGTGTTAATTTTTCTTTCTTGGTGGATTTGAGACGGAAGGAAGCTTACTGTATATAGTAGAAAAAAACTTTTTTTTCTGTGTTGTCCTTTGCATTCAAATAAAATTCAAAACAAACTTTCTTTAGATAAAATTAACAAATCAAAACTAAGACACAAAAAGGCGGAAATTTCCTTTACTTCTTGCAGAAGAAACTTATGTCCGAAGAAAGTTTTTTTGGTTTAATTAAACTAAACACAATGCAATGTGAGTTTTTCAAAAGGCAAAGTTGCCCAAAACGAAAATAAATTTACAAAGCTTTTTTCTTTGAAGTCTTGTTGAATTAAATAATCAATAAACTATCTTTATTCAAGATAAAGGCTAAATTATAACGTTTATACGAAAATTTATAAGTTCCCGTAATCTATAACGTTAACATCATTCTACAAGAAAAAACGAAAACATAGCATTTAAAATCAGCAACACGCATGAAAAAATTACTCAAAAAACAACTTGAGTCCGTAAAAAATATTTCCATGTGTCCAAAGTCCCTCGTCTTATACGACCTCTTATACAATATACCAGTTTTTGAATASTAAACTCGAATTCGGCTGGAGTAGAAGACGCCATCTGCTTTCAAATATGACAGCATGCCAAACAGAATTCCCCGTAGCGCACGATTTCAATCAGGGAAAAAATCGAATAGGAACGTTATCTAATCTCCAGGCGTAAAATGTCTTGAAGATAACATTGTATTCCGCATTGGTGATAACAGAGCAAATATACCAATAACGATATTATTATAATGTGCTATGAACACAAGAAACTCATGTCAAACATAGTGTTTCTCTTGTGTTGTCTACAGACTTAKCTATCGTTTAACACTAWTTTTTCCGTAGTTCAGTTCYTAGTATTCTCTATTTTTAAWTTTTAATTYTTAATATTTTCCATWTTCAARCCATGATTTTTTTCTGACCAGTTTTAATCAATGTTATTATTGTTCATGAATATTGATTCATTTTTCATTCAAAACTTATCAATTTATTTTACAAATTCGAAGTTGAGGAATAAAATCGTAGCTATAAACAAGTAACAAGTCCATAAGATCTCAAAAACAGTTTAATCACCCAACACAAGTAGCCTTTCGTTACATTCTTAATGACRCCACGTGAWCGCACATGTGAACAACCTGTCAATCACCGAAGATTTGCTTGCTACGTTGGCATGGTTACGTGTTTATCATCGCCATGGAAACACGAACGAAATTCAGTCCTAACGATCTKGTTAAAGCACTTTCACATCTTTATAATATTAATGTGTGAAAAAGCTGTCAAGTTAAGTGGGGGATGTAAGAGGTTTAAGAGGTTAAACAATTACAATTCACTTTAAAACGGATTTTTTTTGTGCGCGCTAACAAGATATCTCTCACGRATCGTTAAAACTGGACTTCACTTGTGTTTGTATCAATTACTGGACATATAGTACTTGCGTTCTAAGTTTACTTTCGTTGTTATTCGTATTTTTTTAATTCAWTACTTTTGCTGTAGTTAATTTTGCTTTCAGTTTTGGTTTACTCTTTKTTTAAATTGTTCTGACTGCAGTGAAATAATGTGATCCTTGTACTTAATATTATTTTTCATTTTTTATCATTTTTTTTTTTTATTCTACTCAATCTTTTAGCTTCTGGTTTCCATGACAATTTAAAATTAAAAAAAAACAACAGCACCAAGATATTTCACGAAATCTTTCTGTTCAAAAGGTARGATTTTTTCACTTTCTTGTCCTTAAATATCTGATGTTTATTGAAATCTTTGATGACAAAGTTTAATTTTCAGTAGATCATTGTTAATTCATTTGCTACGAACCGAATKTGATGCTTTCCAAATTCATTGTTTATATTATTTCAAGTTTCTGTTATAGATTTGTTGGAATGCAATATATTGACGTCGTCAGCAAAGATTTAAAACTTCCGAGTTTTCGTAAAAGCATAAATATTATTTTAACATAGCGTAATAAAACTAGGTAAGTAAAGGTCCTAAGATGGAGCCCTGTGATAACCCGTATTCTATTGCCGCTTTGTTACCTTTCAAAGTGACACAGTAAACCTTGAAGGAGACTATTGCAACTCCAATTTTTCTGAAGCTACACTGATATTAGGCATATAAAAAAATGAGCTAATGCAAACACCTTCGACAACAACTGGAACAAACTGTCGAGTAAAAAAACTGAAAACATCTAAACGATCACGTCTGAAGGAGACGTAGAATAAATCGCGTTAGTGGCGCTCTTCTTAGTAAAGAGAAGGAAAAAAATGTCAGGAAAACTTTTAGAAGAGTATAACAAAGTTAATRCAAGAAGATTTCAAACGAGAAATACAGCGGAAAAAAAAAACAGCAACAAAAAGTAATTGATATAACGTTGAAAACTGAATGTCTTTCCAGCAACGGTTTTAGAYATTTTTAAAGTCATTGGGTTAAGTTCTACTGCAGTAAATTTATTTCTAAATTCTTAGAAACAATTGAAAAAGATTTTTACTACTGTAAAAGTTTCTCAAAGTTTACTTGCTGTTATAATAAACCCTCCACCACGACTAAAGGACTGCCAATAGGAATGAAGTAAAAGTAGTATAGGTAATTGAGCATGTTTTGTAGTGGTATCATATATAAAATAAGACTAAATAAATACCACTCCTATAAGCTAATCAAATTTGACAATTTCATTGAACCATAGAGTGCTCGCACTAAATGCGTGAAATATAAATACTACAAAATAGGTGATAAATTATACAAATTCCTTTGTTTCYTATTKTATRATCAACACTATTTAGTAGTAATTAGTACTATTTGTTTCACGCTTTAAGTGAGAGCACTCTATTACTTGATATTACATTTTTTTTATAAACCCAGCGATATATCACAGAAAATTTAAGAAAAAATGTTTAACGGAAGCAAACAGTAAAAAAATTCAGATCATGCATCAAATATTAGACGTCAACATGTGATGGCTATCATGGTTAAGGAAAAAAAKACAAAACAAAGAAAGAAGATTTAAATTGTATGTTGATCCTAGTCAAAATGTTATGAATTATGTAAAATGGACTGAAGTCTTGGCTGGAAATATGTATCTCAGTTGAAAGATTATCTTTAAGATAAGAATATTTACCAAAGCCGCTATAAAAAATTCATYATCTTTTACCAAAACATATAGCTAATATTGCTCATAGTTATTTATTAACTATGTATTGCTTTAAAGATATGACCAGCTATATTATTAACAGTACAGTGTCTGTAGGACCTTCATACATAAGTAATTATTTTGATAGAGAGGATATTAATAAGGGTGCCGTGATACGGATTTCAAGGTATCTTCAAATGTTGAAAAGATCTCTCACAAGAAGCATAGCGACGGATTTTCAGCACAAGAAGACAGAGAAAATAAAATCCGTATCTCCAAGCGAACATTCTGTTTATCATATAATTATCTATGAAAGCAAATTATATCTTAAAAACAAACTTTTATTTACTTCCAATATATAGAGATACAACGAATCAGTTATTTTCACTGTGAAATTAACAACTTTACGGAAGGGAGAAGCTTTGTTACTTCTGGGCACTTTTTTTTTCAATTTCAATTCTCAATTTTGTTCACATTTTCCTTGCATGGTTTGAAATTGAGATCTGCCTCTAAATTTATCACAGACGCATAAATTTGACAAAATGTGCACTTGGTCTGATGCCTGTCACGTGATAGTGCGTTTCTATATAAAATAGTCCTAGCTATTTCTATGTAATTTGATATTCAACGAGAGAAATAAACGCTCTAAGGAAACACTAAAAGATAACTAGTCGCTCCATACATTTACTACCAATATGCAAATTGCCCACTTATCACAACTGCAATGCATAGACCTTATCGACTAACGCGTTACCATGTACGTTACCACCCAATTCAAATCATGTGCGAAAAAAAAACTTTTGTTTCTAAGAATTCAGCTGTGAAATGAAAATACGAAGAACAATCAAACTTACTACCGGGTGGTCTGATTTGGATGGAAACGTTTATAACAACGCATTATTCGATAAATCCATTTCCTGCAAATATCGTATGTGTTAAAAGCGGCATCGATATATCATGTGGGATCCCTGTGTTTTGTTAGAGTTTCTTTCACCTAAACCTCTAAGCCATCTTGCCGAAACACTTCGACCTCGTCTGGCTGAAAACGGTACGATCCTGCAAGAAGGTTCTTCGCCTTAGTTGATCCATATGTGTAGCCCTTAATCAGTACATAGCTATATCCAAGGTTCGTATGGGAGCCTGTGTTGCTACCAGCATTATTACTAATATGTATGTCAGCGCCGCCTCCAAAGGTTGGTCCGTAGTCGCTATTTCCATAAATTGCATACTGCGATTTGAAAACTTTCATTTTAAATGGCTTCAAGTTATCTTTGTTTACGAATGAAAACAGGAACGAGCTGACTGATGTGCTATAATATCTGGTATCTTTAAAAAAGAAAACAATTATAATACGTTATTGTGAGAATAAAAAAGCTGTACCAATGTGATGGTTGTTCTGTGTTAACCCCCGAATATAGCAAAGATCAACAACTGAAATACTTACGCCAGCTGACATCTGTATAGCCTCCAAATATGTATTTGTTCACTTTGATGATTGTAATAGTTGGTCCTTGACCATCACAMTTTGCGTGGAATGTSTTACTGGCCCATCCGTGAAGTCTGCTTTGGTAGCATGGTACCCATCTCATTGGGTTGTTTGTCACTGCAGCCAGCCATCGTTCCATCAAATCATAGTAATACCCTCGATTTTTGAGAATGTTTGAATAATGCCTCTTATAACCTGGAACATTATTAAGTGAAGTCAATTTCATTGTATTCTAAATACATTCACCGATTTAGGAAAAGAGCTGATAACATTTTAGTGCTGATTAATAATAATGAAAATAATAATTTAATTCATATAGCGCTTAAAGCGCTTTACAATGATAAAGTTATTTACAAAATATATAAGTATAATGTAAATCAATCGATCAATCAATCAATAAGGTGCATATATATGAAAACAACATGTTTTAATTAATGCTATACATCTTGAATACTATACATCTTGAATTAAGGAAATAGTCGAGGGTTAGAATAAGTGTAAAAATGATAATTTCGCACCTTGTGACTGGTTATGACAGCAAATGGTCGAAATTTATATTAAGAGAACATAGTTCATGATGAAATATACTGTACTATCTAAAACTTGAATATCGACATCCATGCCTTCATATGAAACTTTTTCCAGTTAAACTTAGAAAAGAGGTGAGGGATAAAAACTTACATGATGGAATTAAGTCGCTCCATGCACCATTTTCCAGACAAAGTCGGTTGGATGGTCCCACTAAATAGTATCCAGGATCACAAGTATAAAATACCATATTCCCAGCCCAGAACTCATTGCCAGTACGATAGCCATTCAGGGGTTTTCCAGGATCACCACAGCTCATTAGGGCTTAAAAAATAAAGAAATTTATCCTATATTTTTGTGAATTTTTGGACTCTTTGTGATATATTGTTGGTTGCAATCTGTGTGTGGTTATGGTGTAAATGTTTTCATTTCCTAATGCCCTAAAGTAAACTTTTATTGTTCCTAAACAAAGACTGGTTTTGTAGACTTAGGCCTACATTACATTGGTAGAATCGTTCTTGAACTTACAGATTTGTATTGTAGTTTCGTCCGTTCCATTCTCGTAGTTTCTAAAAAAGCATTTGTAT